GAAGGGGGACAGGGGTTGAGGCCTTCCCTGTCAATCCCGGCGTGGCGTCCGCCCATCTAAGCGATGCAACAATCTAAACGGAAATGTAACATGTGCTAGCACCGAAGTGCTTGCTAACTTGGGACAAGTCACCACGCGCTACCGATCGCCACGAGAGAGAGTCACTCCATATCGAACTCTTGGCGATTGGATCCGCCGTCAGTTTAGTAGCAAAAAAACAGGAACCACGATTGTCCAATCGCTTTTGCGCTCGCATTCCAATGCGAAGTTGGGCGTAAAGGAATGTACGAATGTACGATGTAAGCGACGGCGGGCAAACCGGCAGCGCTAATAACGACGGCAACGGGTCACCGAGACAACTGCTGACATCTCGGAAACATTTGTTCTATCATCAAACAGCGGTGATTCACGGGGGGCGGCACAGCATGATGGTAATGAAGTATTACTCACATCAACCAAGAATGTATCGACAGAGGGTATCGAGATTGTCCGTTGCAAGAGCAGGTGGACAGTCACAGGCCGAAACTAGCTGGAATAGCTTCATGACTCCTTCCTGCCCTATCTCGTCTATCTCTGCTGCCATCCTACCGTCCTCTACCACCACCAGCCTCAAGCGTCGCCGTCACCGCTCTTCCTCCTCAGATGACCCTCGATGAGCGCAAGTTGAGCCTCAAGCACCGCCGCCACAAACTCCCGTGGCCTCCCCTCGCAAGCGCCGCGTATCATCCGGATATACCCCTCTCTCTCCAGCGCGCCCTCGGGTCGGAGGATCGCGGGCAGGTAGCCCTGCCGCGCCATGTAATCCTGCATGACCATGCGACTGACGCGCCCATTCCCGTCGGGGAGCGGGTGGACACTCGCAAAGTACGCGGTCATCTGGCACGCCAGTACAAGCGGGTGAAGCAGTCCTGCCGCATGCTGCGCGTCCCGCCACGCAAAGAACCGCCGGACGCAAGCCGGCACCTCCTGCGGGTACGGGAACACGACAAGCGGGCTGCTCCGCACCGCGACCGGCAGCGTCCGGTATGCCCCCAGCGGCACCGGCCCGCCCCATGCCATGCCGTACGCGGTGGCCTCGGAGGCGGTGCCCTTGATCGACAGCGCCGCGAGGTCCCGCATCTCGGTTTCCGTGATGCCTGAAGTGTGAAGCTTCGCGGTCGTATTGTCGGCGATCCACTGCGAGGCGATGATGTGGTTCCGCAGCTCGGCCGTCGCGGAACACTCGTCCGGCTCCGCGAGCTCGAGGAGTTTAGTTGATGGCATCGAGAGCATCCCCACCGGCCCGAACCTCTGCCCAAACTTCAACTGCTCAAAGATGCGAACCGCATCGACGACCTGTAACGGATTATGCTCGATCATGACGGACTGCTGCGCATAGCGAGGGACCAGCTTCCTGGCGAGCTCCAGGAGCGGCAGCCTGCCTCGCAAGTCATCGATCCTCTCTAGCAAACCGTTAAACTCCTGCTGCAAGTCTACGTATCCCAGCCGGCGGCTGTCGCTGGGCTGAAAATAGTCTTCCCATACCCTGCCCGAGGTAGCCAGTCTCTCGTACTCCTCGGATCCCTTCTGAAGGTTGGCGAAGGGTGCGTAGATTTCCTTAAGCTTCGCCTTGCGTGCAAGCTGTTCCCGCATGTGCTTCAAGGTCTTGATGTACATGGTTGGGATTGTGTGTTATTTTTGACTTTTCAACTGCCGGATTAGCAGTTGGTCAGTACGTTCGTCGACGTCCAGGCATAAGCCCAGTTGCTCCTGGTATATAAATTGCTGCATGACCTTGTAAGGTCCAGCTGGAGGAACCCTTTTAGTTGTTGAACTTTGCGATCCAAATGCCGATTACCCAACAAGGTTGTGAACGAACACTGAATAGCTCCTGGTATGGAGATGCTACGGTTGTTGATACTGCCAGTGTCCTGTCTCTGCCATTGCCTGTTTCTGCGTCGTTTATCTCGAGGCCGTCCATCATCATATGCGTCGCCTTCTCTCTTGATTCTCTTCCGAAACTGTCATCTTCTCCGTTGCAGCTACCATTTTTATCCTCTTTATCGAGTTGCCGACAACAAACTCAGTCTCCTTGCTGGCCCGTGACACCTTCAGCCCCAGACATCAGCTGCCGCACACCAACGCCGTCTCGGTACCGACTCGCGGAGTTCCCAGCCGTCGTCCGAAAATCCCAAGTCAGCTTCGGACAAACTCTCCGGACGTCTATACCAAAAGCCCTGGAACAAGCCAACCAAAGTCCCTCCTCCTGCGCAGTGCTGACTCGACAGGCGCGCTCATGTACAGCACGGCCCCCAAAAGACGTTGAGCGGCGCGGCAGAGGGAACGGAACCACACGCAATACATAAGCCAGGCAGAAGAATAGCCCGAGCTGCATTATCTGATCTCCGCAACGAACATTTTGCACCCACGATTCACATGTCCAGCACTGGGTCCCTCGTGGAGTTCCGCTGGACAGAGATCCTCCCAACGTTCCTGAAGCCAAGAGCAAAAAAGAAGGTGAACGAGAAAACCGCAAAAGTGGGAACCTTACCGGCAGGCACTCCGAGACAAACGATAGCGAAAGCGAGCAGAACGACGATCGTCAGTCTAAAGAAAAAAACCGGAGCAGACCCCAAGACACGGGATTCCCAGAGAATTCCACGTCCGTAGGGATGGGAGACCGCGCGGCATTCCCGTGAAAAGGACTTGAAGGGCGGATTAGCGCTGTCAGCATCTCAGGTGCACCTATCGGCCCCGACATGCCTACCCTGGACGTCGAGGGACAAACTGCCAAGGAAGAGGCTTGATGACCACAGCTCGGGAAATCGTTGTTCTCCGAAGAATTAAGAAGAGCAAAAACCGTTCCCGCGCTGCAACACCCCGCTAAAAAGATGACAACAGGCAGATTGCCTTTCGGCTGTCTAGTAGAGAAAGGGGAAAGGGGGGCTGTCAGCATGGGAAAGAAAGGGGACCCGTCTTGGCGATCTGCTGGGCCTACTATGTGCAAAGTGAAGCACAGCAGTGACCATGTTCACGTCCAAAGGACGAAGCTTGGCTTTTTTGGCGTTGAATATCGCATTTTGCGTATGCTGATGCGATAGTTTGCATGCATCTCGCAGCCTCTGTATCTCCCTGAGTTTCGCTACCTACAGAATTCATGTTAAATCTTAGCTGTTCCCTCACTGCATTCGAAGAGAAGACGGCATTCTTCAACATGCACAAAAGGAACAAATATTACATAAGATAAATGCACCGCCACAGCGAAAATGACTCCAATCACACTCCACTGCGTACATGTGGCGCACTGCTACTCGCCCGCCACACTTACGCCACTCCTTCACCGACGCCACGGGACCAATCCCATCGCGACCTCGTCGCCGTCGCCTCCTCACAACACCCCAATTACACCGGGCGAGGAGCCTGGTCCCAACATCATATCTGTCCTCAACCTTACCCTCACTCTGCCTCACTGGACACATACTCCTCTATAATTCGGTCGACGTATACCAAAACACCACACAGCCTGAGAAAGGGAAAACCAGCTTGAAACCCTCTCACCTTCATGCTCTGACATATCGCCAACTTCCTCAGGCAACCCCCGCCACACGGGACACACCCAAACCCCGAGAAAAAGCGACCCCAGCGTCGCAACTAACGGACACACTCGACACTCCGGCACCCCAAAGCCGACAAGAAAAAAAGATGCACCTCTCACTCACCCTCTCGCTGCTGCTGCCCCTCGCCGCAGCAGCCAGCAAGCCAAAAAACGCAATCCTCCTCTCGGACGTGCAATCCCTCACCCTCCGCGGCAACGGCGCCCTCACAACCCACCGCCGCGCGCCCGCGGCCCCGCAGCTCAAATGCCTCTCCGCAAAGACCCTCTGCGACCTCTTCGCCATCGACGTCATGCGCTGCACAAACCAGGGCGCCGGCTACAGCTCCGAGGACATCCAGTGGTCCTGTGTCGCCCAGCTGCCCGAGGAGCTCAAGCTCGGCTCCACGGACGTCATCTGCGAGGGCTACAGCTCCAAAGACGACCCGTACGTCCTCAAGGGCAGCTGCGGGGTCGAGTACCGCCTCGCCCTCACCGACAAGGGCGAGCGCAGGTATCCCGACCTGGGCCGCGGCGGCGGCGGCGCGAACGGGGATTTCGACATGAGCGCCGTCCTGTTTGGCATTCTCTTCTTCGCTGTCCTGGGCTGGATCGTGTACTCGGCGTGTGTGGCGGGTGAGCAGAACCGGAGGGCCGGTGGCCGGCGCCGCGGGGGTGGTGGAGGAGGTGGAGGAGGCGGCGGCGGTGGTGGTTGGAATCCCGGATTCGGCCCGGATAACAACGATCCTCCGCCGCCGTACCCAGGGACTAAGCCCTCTGGCAGCAATTCGCAGCAAGGATGGCGGCCTGGTTTCTGGACCGGGACAGCAGCGGGCGGCGCTGCTGGGTACGGAGCGGGTTACTACCAGGGACGGAACGCCGCCAGAAATGAACAGCGCGGCTGGGGCTACGACGAGAACCAGTGGGGAGCTGGCCCTTCGAGATCCTCTACCAGATCGTCCTCGTCTTCGACCTCTTCTGCGCGACACGAGAGCACCGGCTTTGGCTCGACCAGCAGAAGGTAGATATTCGTCACGAAGAAGACAATTCCATAGAAATACTTGGTATGGATGTGTCAGTGGTAGGATATTCTAGATCTATCCTGTGCACTCCAGCTTTCGTACATCAGTCCTCCTCTCGCCGGCCACCTGCTCTTGTGAAAACCCTCAAAGGGGGCGAAAGTATGTACATACTCAGTCCAGGCCGTCTTCCATACACGTAAAAGTACAGCAATCCATCGTGTCCAAGTCAAACATCCTCTGGGCCAACCCCAAGGTATCATGCCATGAAACCCCTTGCTCTGCGAAACAAATTCCATATGGCACACAAACATGTTCGAAGTAGTCGAAACATCAGCCCGCGCGTCGAAAGCCCCAGGGCTCTCAAATTAAATACGTCGGACGTCGAAGCGAAGCGAAACTGCCAAGGGCTAGTGGTGGACACTCATAACATCCAGCCGATCGAATGCCCGCGAACAGTTGGGGCACTTTCGCATGCGGTTGCTGATCCGGTCATCCACGCACTGGTGGCAGAACAGGTGACCGCAAGTCTTCAGGGCCGTGTCCTTGAAGTTGTTGCGGCAAACAGTACATAGTGCAAAGGTCTGTCATCTGTTAGATACTTGCATTCTTGGGCAGGAACAGGGGGGCCAGCTTACTCTGAGCATTTCCTCTTCCTCCGACGAGTTGCTCAACGCCTTGCGTTTCCACTCGTCCTTGTCCTTCTGCACCATGTCTGCGCGCACCTTGAGGCGCTCCACCTCCGCTTCTTGAGTCGTCGTTCGTTCTCTTGCGGCAGCAACGGCCGCATCGCGGGACTTGACGAGGCCCGACAGTTCGTTGATTTGGTTCTTATACGAATCAGCGCGACGCGCAGCGTCGGAGCTGGTTGCCTCCATCTTCTTGTGTTCCGCCGCCATGGCCGCGTTCGCCTGCTTCAGGTCGGAGAGCTGCTTTTCAAGGTTGCTAATGAGAACTCTGTGCTGCGCCTCAACTTCCTTTAGCTGCGACACGATTTCGGAGCTCTTGCGATGCTGGCTCCTGAGCACACCGAGTTCTCTATCCCTCATGTCGGCGTCCTTCTTTACTGCAAAGTACTTCTGGTCGGCCTTTTGCTTCTCAGCGAGCGCTGCTGCGACCCGCTCTTCGAGGGCGGTAAAGTCCATGACCTTCTTCTGTGCCAGGGTCATGGATCGCTTGTACGCTTGCTGCAGTGCCGGCAACTCCTTGTTGATAGACTCGAAATCTTGCTGCAGCTTCTTATACTTGGCCAGCAGTTCTTCGGCGGGCAGGGTATCCAGTTCGGGGTCTGGGTCCGCCATCTGCTGGTCTTCGGGCTTCAATCGCTGCAACTCCAGCTCCATCGATGTGATTCGATCTTGTTGGGACCCGGTGAGTTCCTTGAGGTGCTGGTGCGCCTGCTTCTCCTCCCTTTCTCGCGTCTCCAGCATGTTCGCCTTGGCGTACCACTCGTCTCGGGCGGCTCGAATTCGGGTCAGATCCGCATCGCGCTCCTCAACCTGCCGCTCCAGTTCAATAACCATCCCCTGCGCCTCATCATGCAGCTTGGTTCGGAAAGCCGTTCGCTCCGCCTGCAGCTTCTCAGCCTCCTCCTTTAGCTGCTTGTTCGTCGCTTCCAAGTGGTTAACTCTCTTGATCAGGTCCTCATTCTGGCTTTTGAACTGCTTGAAGACATCGGTCCTAATGAAGTCTTCATCGGTGAGCCCTTCGCGTCGCGCCTTGAGCGCCGAGTTCTCCTCCTGTAGTGTCTTGATATCGGCCTGCGCAGCCTCAAGCTGCTCCTTTTGCTTTGCGACGACCGCCGATGCCTCCTCGAACTTGATCAAGGCCTCGGCGGCATTACCATTCGCTTCAGCGTTGTCGCTGCCGTTCTCTCCTCCAGCGGCCGTCGGCTTGGCACTAGCAATGAACTGCTGCTCGAGCTTTTGTACTTGGGCGCTCTTAAGTCGGTCCATGCGCTTTTCCGCCTTAAAGAATCTCAGGCTGGCCTTGTTGAGATCCTCTGATAGTTGTTCATTTTCCTGATTCGCTCGGTCGAGCTTCACCAGGTAGTCCTTCTGTTGGGCGAGAAGGCTATTCACTCTAGTTTCCAAGTCGGCGATGTTTGGCGTTATTTCACCTCTGGCGCTTGCGATCCGGTTAATGACTGCTTCGGCTCGCTTCCTTATGTCCGCGGTGGTGTCGCCCAGGTGCCGTTGGAATTCTTCGTTATCCTTAAAATGCGTGCTAGTAATGTATGGGGGGCCTGGAATTGTCAGCAGCAATCCGTGTCGATCCAATCACGGGCAAACCTACTGGTTGGGCCTGCCGGTGGTGGTAGCGCAGGATCCACGAGCTGTTCCATCTCCTCCAATACCTGCGACAGTCAGCCCCAGCCACACGAGTCACAAGGGATTCAATCGAAAACCGACCTGCTTCCACCATGCTTCGATGATGCGGATGTGATCCTCCCGATGGTTGAGGTTCTTCTGCAACTGCTCGACGCGCGACTCGAAATCGGCTTTTTCCCTCTTTGTTTCCTGCAGCTGCCTGTATATGGCGCCCTTTTGGTAATTCTGAAGTCACTTCATCAGCTTCGGGCCCTTTCCATGTATTTCGCGTCATGCGATCGTCTCCAGAGGCAGATGGTATGGGAGGGAAATCGGATGCGTGGTGTGGTGGAAGACAGGGAGACGGCATCGTCTTCAGCCAGCCTCGTCGCCCTCGGCCGCCGACCGAAAGGCCATTCCAGACCAGTCGACCGCGATCCGCCAGTGTTGGGCGTGGCTAGGGGCTGTCGATGATCGTGATGTCGCGCAGCCATTGACGGCAGAAGGGGGTCGCGTAGGGGTCCATTGATTGTTGAGAAAACTTGATGTGTTGGGAAACCGTGTCTCGTGACACTTACCTCGATCCAATGCTCCTCGGCGGTATCGCCGCTGTCACCTTTGGACTTGCTTCCATTGACGGTTTGGTGTCGCTTGCTGGGAGGAGCGAGATCCTCAGCGGTGCTGATGGGAGGTCTCTTCCTGTCCTCCATCTTGGATAAGGTGGACGGACGCGGAGAGGCAGTCGGGGCTGAAGTCGCTACAGGCATGAGAAAGGCAGAGAGAGAGGCTGAGACAGCGCGAGCAACCGGGTCGGCGAAAGCGATGAAGGGGACTGGATGATGAAGCCAGATGATGATTACGCGTTGATCCGGGCCACGCGCGGTGTCGAGATGGTCGTGGCTTGTCGAATTCGCGCAGAGGATGGGGGGTGGGAGGCAATGCTTGGGCAAGGAGTGAAAATTCGAGGTTGCCGACGCTTCACGTCTCTTCTCCTGCTGAGATCAAGCCAGCCCGGTCCACTTCTCAAACAGGACTAGCTTTACGCTAACCAGATGGGGCCTCGTTATCAAGCGCCCCGCAGGAGCCGGTTAATCGTCGGTCGTCTTTTTCCCTCCCGTATCTACCTTTTTTTTTTCTTATCCCACCCGCAGTCAGTCACTCCTGTCCCTCCCGCGGCTCATCAAAGTCTTGCGCAAGCCAAATCTCCGACGAAACAACTCGCTGCAGTCCGCAACCACACACCAAAGACCCGGCCATGAGGCTATTTCCACATCGATAATTAGAGGACCCTCAACAGAACCGTCATCATGAGCTCCATGTTCAAAAAGAAGGGAGGCATGGCTTTCAAGCCAAAAATGCCCATGGCCCGTCCTCGAGCGCCAGGTGCTGCCTCCTCCCAGCCATCAAGGGCCCCGTCGACGACTGCCACGGAACCAGCGACGCAGTCAGAGGCCCCCATCCCGGCTGCCGGTCAGTCGGCGCAAAATGTCGACGATGCCGCAGGGATGAAAGAATCCGGCAGGGTTCAGGTCACTGATACCCCGCCATCGACGAATTCGGACGCGATACAGACGGCCACGCCGCAAACACAGAAGCCCATCAGCGAGCCCGCGACTGCGTCAAAACCTACAGCACAGAGCGAAGCGACAACAGAGAATGCGACATCATCGGGCGAGACCTCCACCAGCGAGACTGCTTCGACACAGACGTCGGCCACTGTCGCCGCAGATGCCCCTCCTCCAGCCGCCGAGACGTCAACGCCCGCCCAACTCCAAACCCCTCCAGCCACCCTCCCCTCTGCCACCGACGTCGTCCCTTCCGTCGAAACGCCTGCCGCCCCTCCTGCTAGCGAACCGTCAAAAGCCCCCGCCAAGCGACCGAGGAAACGAGCCCCCCAAGCAGACGACGACGAGACCGCAGAGGCCAGCGAGAGCGCAGCAGCCACAAAACCGAAGCGACAGAGGAAAAAGAAGGACGACGCAACGGCCGCAGACGGTAGCGAGGCCCCAAAGCGACCGGTCCGCCCGAGGAAAAAGAAGACGGCGGAGGATGGTGCAGCAGCGGCGGCGGCGGCGGCGGCAACAACCGATGGAGGGGAAGACAGCGCAGGAGCGGAACCCAAGCCAAAACGTCCCCGACGAGCCCGCTCTATAACACCAGAGGATGCCGAGAACCAGGAGGCCGACCTGAGCGTTCTCACGATGGGCGACCTCACACGAGACCTGCGCATCGGCAAGAAGTTCAGCCGGCACGACGAGCTCCTCGAGCGACACCGCGAGAAACAGGCAAAGGCCAGGGAACGGCTCAAGAGCAGGCGCAACGGCACCGAAGACCCCTCCGAGAGCGGCACCCCGGGACCGCGCAGCGCCAACGGCACCCCGGCCCCCGCCGCACCTGCCTCAAAACCGCAACTCGCCGCCTCGGCCAGCATGGGCCAGACAGGGCCCCAATTCCAAATCATCGACGGCCAGATCGTCGTGGACCAAAACTCCCTCGCCCTCGACCGCCACGCCATCGCCGACGCCAACGCCGAGGACATGCTCGAGATTGAAGAAAACGACTTCACCACCCTCACGACGCAAAACAGCTACCGCACCGGCTCCAAACTGAAAGGCCCCAACGTCTGGACCGAGGACGAGACGGAGCTCTTCTACCGCGGCCTGCGCATGTTCGGCACCGACTTCCAGATGATCAGCGGCATGTTCCCCGGCAAGAACCGCCGCCACGTCAAGATGAAGTTCAACCGCGAGGAGCGCCACGCCCCCGCCCGCATCGACGCCATCCTCGTCGGCAAGAAGGAGCTCCAGATCGACCTCGAGGAGTACAAGACCTGGACCAAGGCCGAGTACGAGCCCGTCGAGGACATCATGGCCGCGCACCGCCTGCAGCAGGTCGAGTTCGACGCCGAGCAGGCCAAGGCCAAGGCCCAGAAGGAAGCGGACATGGCACGCAAGAAGGCCGCCCTCGAGGACCCCAGCGACCGCCCCGGCGGCGCGCAGGCGTCGTCATCCGGCGGCAAGAGCAAGTCGCGGGGCCAGCAGTCCGGCGGCGGGGCCAGCGCGGGGCCGCAAATCACCGTCGACGCAGACGGCATGATCACCATCGACGAGACCAACATGGACCCCGACGCGGGGGCGCGCAAGAAGAGGGGCGCGGGGAAGGCGAAGAAGAAGGCTGTGGAGTACAACATGCGCGGAGAAATCATCAGATAAGATGGGCGGCGAAGAAAGGGATGGATGGACATGGGCGGGCGGGCTACTACTTCTCACTACTACTACTACTACCACAAGACAGATACCCTTAGCATTCGGCTCCAGGACGCGAAGCTTCCTGAATTAGGGGGGAGGCTTCACTTTGCATCAAACGGCGTTTGGTTTTTCCTGGCTTTTCTATTCTATTGGCAGTAGCTTGCGCCCTCGTTCAGAACAACGGGACGAAGAGAAAAGAGAGATACAATCACTTTTCCAAGTTAACCACCTTTTCTACCATCCCATGACACGTCCGCAGCAAGCAATGACTACTCCCATCCCGCTCATCTGAAGCTTCCACAGCGACTACCATCCCACCACACCTGACCCATACCATGTCTTCAGTCTTCAGTCTTCTTCTTCGTGTCGCCGCCCGCAGCGACGAAAATCCACAATGAAAAAGAGTGTATGACAGAGAAGAAAGCAAAAATAAGCCCAGTACGGCCTCGCAGCGGAGTACCATACGATGAGGGGCACAGCCGCGGTGTGTGCAATGCAGGTCCCCCAGCACCACGGCCCGGTTCTCTTGATCTCCGGGCCGTTCAAGCAGGTAAGTATACAGAAGAAGAAGGAGAAAAAAAAGGTATCGAACTACGTCGGGGAAGAGTCGGTTTTTATACCCGTGGGAATGGCTTTACTTCAGGTAGTTAAGGGCAAACAAAGTACGTACTGAGGCCAAAAGGTGAGGCCAAACCCTCAATTGGCCTCACAGGGACGTACCTCTGTCCAGATACTTGCACGTCACCACGACATATAGGACAACACACAGTTGGCACTAAAAAAGTTGAATTACCTGGTACTACCTGGCCTGGCTACCTGGGACCGACGCCACGCTCTCTTCCAAGCCAGAACAGGAGCAATCCTGGTTAACAGATGAAGCAAGTGCAGTTGCAACCGTGAATATTTTGCGACCCTCGTACGCTTCAGCTCGTCCTCCGCATACCGATCGTCGTCTGGCCGCCTCCGTGCCGGCCTCTCGGGGAAAAGAACCTTCTACCTCCACTGCGAACGATGAGCGTCCATGTTGCCCCTGACGGTTGGGACCTTCGTCGTCCCGACCAAAGTATGCTCAAGTCTCCTAAGTCTTTGTTACCAAGCCAACACCGTCCGGTAATTCCTGTGCGTGTCTGTCGTAGATTGGGTTTGTCATGCAGTCGTTCAAGGGTGGCTTAGTTCTGGGGCGGGTCATCATCGTCGGGCTGGTCAAACAAAAAGTTTGCCGCGAGCTCCTCGTTCTTATCACACGCGAAGTAGGCCTGGATGGCAGCGTCGCGGTCGAAGCCGAGACGGCATAACTAGGATCTGTCAGCATCAATACGCGAGTTCAGATATATAGGTGACGCACCCGCTCAATAGCATCGCGCTCCTCTTCGGTGACGGCAATGGCCTGCGCGCCAGGGGGCAGAGGCACGTCATCGTCAACCTCCTCGCCCAAAAGCTGCAAGAACTGGTCGGGGTTGTTGGCGATCAGCTGCGCGAGCTGGGGGTTGCCGGCACCGAGCTGCTGGAGGATAGGCTCGAGCATCTGAGGCTGTTGCTGGACGACCTGGCGCAGCTGCTGGAACTGAGCGTTGTTTCTCAGGAAGTCGAGGTTGCCGAAGCCACCCTGAGCAGCGGCGGCCGCCGCAGCAGCAGCCGCAGCCTGTTGGTTGCCACCAGCGCCGCGAGCAGCACCACCACCGCTGCCACCACGCTGAGCAGCGAGGTCGAAGAGGTTGACGCCCTCCTCACCGCCCGCAGCGGCGGCGGCGGGTTGTTCGGCCGGAGCAGCGGCAGCAGCCTGACGCTGGGCCTGCTCTTGTTGGACGCCTTCGGGGATACCCTGTCGAAGTCAGTTTCTGATCGAGACAACATACGAGCTAACCGTTCTTACGTTGAGCAGGTACTCGACGGCGCGGTCGGGGTTGTAGAAGGCGGCGCGCATGGCAGCGTCGATCTGACTACGCTCGAAGCCCATGGCCTCCATGTTCGCAATCACCTCCTGGCGCTGAGCACCCATGGCCATCGAGGGGTCATTGCTGGGGGCGTCACCACCACCGGTAGAGCGAGCAGCGGGCGTCGGCGTGGAGGGAGCGGCCGCGGGCGCAGCAGCGTGAGCGGCCGGCGCGGGAGGAGCAGCCGGGGTAGCGGCGACGGGCTGGGCCGGAGTCGCGGGGACGGCGGGAGCAGAAGAGGATTCGGCGGGGGCTGGCTTGGGTGCCTTGGGCTGTATGGTTGTCAGCATTCGCGAAGCCGGGTAGGGTCTCCGGAGTACAGACCTTGTTCACCATGCACACGACGAAGCCCTTCTCCTCAATCTTGTAAGACTCGACGGTGTCGTCGTCCTTCAGGATCTTGCCTAAAACCCAGTCAGCCGGAGCTATCGCAGGGTGCCTGAGCCGCGAGAGCACCTACCAGAGTAGATAAGCTTCTGGTCCTTGGGATCCCATCCCTTCTCGCCGGCAATCTTCTGCTTCACGGCAGAGATCTGTACGTCTTGTTAGCTTCGGGTGGGAGGTCGCAAGGCAGCCGCAGACGAGAAATATCGGAGGCGGAAGTGGGGGGGAACAACGCACCAGGTCGGTGGGCTCGACATCGAGCGTAAACTTTTGTTGCTTCAAGTCCTGCGGAAGAGTAAATCGATTAGCTGGAGCTCGGGGCGGGTCGGCTGAGAGGAGAGAGCGCAATGCGAAGAGGCGTGGGATCGCGGGCTCGGAGGGCGGAGCTGCGTACCTTGAATGTGACCTTCATCTTGACGAGCTTCAAAGCAGCAAAAGGCTGCGATCACGGTGGGGAGGACAGAGGGTGGCGGAAAGATGAGAGGCGGACGATGCCGATGGGGACGGGCAGTTGCAGTTGTAGATGCGCAGGAATGGAACGCGTGGGAAAAGCAGAGGCGATCGAGATGGGAAATCCGTCACCCAAGCTGGAAGGGTTTTGTTGTGCGCAGGAGCAGGCAAGGTACTCAGGCACAGAATTAATGGAGATGACGAAGGTAAGTGGTGACCTGAAGTCAGTTTTGGTTGTGTTGCCGCTCAGTGGGGGGAGGGGACTTGGGAAGGGAAGGCGTCCGGCGGTTGGTTGGCTGAGGGAGGTAGCTCCACCGATCCAATGGCGGGCAGGGTACCGTAGGTAGGTGGGTAGCAGGTACCGTGCTGGTGCTGGCTGGCGCTGGCGCTGGTGCTAGTCTTTCTTTGCTTTGAGGTCACAACAGCGTCGTTTGGTGCTTTGGGCGGTGCTGAGGTGAGGTTTGGGTGGTTCAAGTTTGAGCTCTCCCCACTGCAGCCGAGCAGTTACAACACACTGTGACGCTGCCAGACATTGGCGGAAAGGCAGAAGCATTGCTGACTGGCCGTCTACAAAGTACTTCGCCTACCCAGGTGCCTAGCGCTGCCGTGGCTCTGGTGGCTCTTATGGTAAACTTTTCCCCATGTGTGTGTGGTAAGAGTGGCGGTGCAAGTAGCACTCTGGTGACTTTTAGGCAGGTGAGAGGCCAAGCAAAGGTGAGGCGGGGGGGACCTCTTTGCAGCAGGTGAGGGGTGACGGGCCTGTCTGGACAACCAGGGAAGCCGCTGGAACCATTGGATGAAAGACACAGCTATCGGCTGTTTTTTTTTCTTCCTGGTCGTCTCCAATGGCTGTCATATGCGCCTCAACTCATTCGTTCCCTCAAGGAACCAGCACCCAGCAGCCACGATTCTCAAAACATGTGTAGCCTGCAGACTTTTGTCGGACAGCCACGAGAAACGGGCGGGGTGCTGGCAACCTGGATATGTCTTCAGATCTGCCGTACAGTGACACCATGCCTGCGAACCCGCGCAGAGTCTGGAGCTTTGCCGACAGCCATCGATGCGCAAACCATAACTTTTGTCAAATATCATGATGCAAACCTATCTCTGATTTTCTTACATGCCTCCACCCTCTGTGATCCAGGTACCTACCTCGGCAAGTAAGCTGCTCGTAGGAGCGCCTTGACTGCTGGGACCAGACTACGCAGTAAGTGTTTGCTGAGGTAAGAAAATACCCGTCCGTGGCCGTGCCCTTTCCCATTCGCCGGACCGAACGGTACACCCGTCCCGACTAGCGCATCGGGATCATCTATGTTCCGAGATCTGGAGAACCCCGGAAGCCTCCGAGGCGCCCGTCCAAGTCCGCCTCTGCGCCGGCGCCAACACCTATACTCAGCCTATCCCTTGTTAGGTAGTGTGTTTGTGGAGGACGACTACTTCACTCTGCACCCATCAACAGAAGATTCATTTGACTCGTTTGATTGTTGTAGCTACTGTAGCTATTCTACCTGCTCGACGGTGTTGGCTTCACGACCGCCAGACTGACTTCCTCTCTCCCTTTTTTCCTCCATACCTACCTCCCGGGACAACGCCACGCTGGAACAAAGAAAAAATAAATAAAGCCCTCAAATATGGTATCACCGCCCGAGTTTGTGTGTGTTGTACTCCGTTTCGTAAGTCGCCGAAGGACGTACTACTAGGAATTAGACATTCATGAAGACCACGCCGGGTCAGGGTATTTCCCTTTTATGTTCTCTTTTCCCTCCTCATGTTCCTGTGGGGAGGGGGCGTGTTGTTGCTGTACCGCTGCCCCTCCCCTCCGTCATCATCATCATGATTGTTCCTCCTTGACGTCCCCGTCTTCGATCCGGAGCTTGCGGCTGTGGTACCCGTTCAGGCTCGTCCGAGCACCGGCGGTGAGTATCCACTCCGGGATCGGTGGAGTCATCTGTCTCTCGTTGGGATCATCGAGCTCTTCCTTCTCCTGTGGCGACTCGAGCTCCTCCTTCTCCTCCTTGACGGGAGGCCCGTTGGGGAAGAAGTTGTCGATGCTGCTCGTGCGACTGAGCGGGCTCGGCCCGGAGGGCAGACTGCCGCTTCTCATCCGGCGCACGCTGTGCCTGTCCGAAATGACACGGCCTGCGTCGGGCGCAGCTACCACCATGGTGCCGGGCGTCACCATCGGCGGGGGGTCTG